ATCTTAATAAAGCTTGTATATTTGTCTTCCTTTCAATGAAAAAATTACCCATCTATCTACAATAGAAGTGGAGATAAGTTGGATTGAAGGAGGTGGGGGTCACCTGGTTTAAGAGGTAAAATTAGCAAGAAAATGGTCGCCGAAGCTTGGTAAATTCCAAAGCTGGAGAGTCCATGGAAACTGTAAATTTATATTTTTGTGCCTTTAATCAACGTTTTCGGTGAAATCCTCAAAGTAATGTGTTTGTAAATGAGAGTTAACGTTATATAATATTATTTTTAGCAACGTGATTTCTTTTTGTTCAAATAACCCAAATAAAAATCACTAAAAATAGAAGCCCTGTATCTTGCGTATCTCCACTGCCAGAAATACATAAATCTTGATCGTCTTGATCGTGGAAGAAAAAACAGCTTGGGAGCACAACGATACTAAACATGTTAGGGTGACACGGCGAGACACATAATGGTTGTTGTCACGATCCAATTATGTGCTAATTTGAAGAAAACGTGACAACGTTTGAGAAGGGTACCCTCCGGAAAACGCCATTAACGGTGAATTCTCGTCTTTTTTAAATTTTAGAATGAAACATCAAGCGATATCGGTTCTTTAGATATTCAGGTACCCAAAAGCATAATGGACACAGTTAAAAATCGAATTTTTGACCCAAATATCGCGTTTTGTAGACCCGTGACACGCCTTAATTAATCTAAATTAATGCCCGTCTTTTATCACAGGCGAAGAAGGGTGGGTGGGGGTAGGGGGGGGGGGTGCAAGTGGTTATGTACACTAATTCTGTTTGTGTTGGTTTCGCTCGTTATCATTATTATTATTATTCATAGCTAGAGAAATCTAGATATAAATATTATGTAGGCCAAGCACCTATAATTATGTAGATCTACATAAATCCTTGATGTGGGCCTATTATTCAATTGACGAAATTCCAGTTGATCATGGAGCGCAATTTGTCTGAAATAGGCCTATACCCAGAGTGGTGCTTTGGCCCTCTGGGTGCAGCAGGGCAGCCAATTTTTATATATAGAACAAAGAGCGACGGCCATGATAGTTTCTAATCAAGGATTAATTTAAGGCTATACGAAGTGACTATTTCTCCAAACGTTCGGAGAAATAGTGCCGTTCTTTATTTCTCCGAACGGTTTCCGGCTTCCGGTCTCGTGATTTTTTGCCTATTTATTGCGAGAGTTCGGCGCCAACTTTCATTCTGCCTCTGACTCTGGTCTGGGAAGGAACACCACATGGCAAGCCCGCCTACATACAACCTTCAGTAACACCCACCACGCACCCACCACCATCCTGCACATGTACACACACAAACTTATACACACACTAACTAAACATGATCAGTGGGCAACTTTTGAACGTATGACGAGCTGAGTTGTGGATGGAGAGACAGTGTGAGTGACAGAGCGGGTGAAAGTGAAAGGAAGAATTTACGAGTGTATCCACAGGCGACAGCAACTACAAGACGACGACACCGACCCCCCTGGCCTGGTCCACAGCTCACGAACGAAAGGAATGTTGCTAAGGCAGTGTTTTACCTATATTATTGTCCATGGTTCGCAGGGAGCAAGGGAATGAGTGAGATTTTCTTTGTGTGTGCCTGGAGGGAGGGGGTGGGGTGTGAAAGTCATGAGAACGGGGATGAGCCGCGGGAGAGAACACGGGAATTGAATGAATGAGTGAAACTGAAAGAGAGGAACGACTCATGAGCACTGGAGTGAATGTATCCTGTTTTTTATTTTTGTATACTTTGAACTGTTACTGAATAAAGGCTGAAATAAAGCCCGAAAAACACACACACACTCACTCCTCACTCTCCACTTACACACTTACTACCACACACAGACACACTCACACACGCACATGCATAGACACACACACACACACACACAGGAGCAAATTTTTGGGTCTATATCTATTTCAATTTTCAAGAGCTAGTCTAGAGATTTTTAGATGAGTGTAAAAACGTGAAAAAGAAAGATTTCACAACAGAATTAAATCAAAATTAGTCGAACAGCCCATAAACAACCACAAAAATTAACAGATAAGGGTGTGTGTCAACCTAGAAGAACCCATAAAAGTGCGTAAATTTTTTTTTTTTAAAGTACAGGATATTACTTGTAAATTATGGAATCACACACATTAAGGGGCCTGCCAGTGTCAGTACATTTAATCGGTTTTGGTGGAACGTACGCTCTAACATAAAACATTAAAATCTATATATACATATTTAGAATCTAATGAAGGTAGATACTAGAAACATCAAATTAAATGACGTTACACTATGCAACGTCCCCCCCCCCCCCCCCCCCCCCCCAACAAAAAAAAATTGATGGAAAAACAGCACATCAGAACAATAACAAGAAAAAAAGTTACACACTAACAAAATAAAACACCACAAAGAGTCAAAGAGGGAAAAATAAAAGTAACTGTACGTATTCAACAAATCAACGTGGTGACAACAAGTGAGAAAGAGACTAAGTGAAGCTAAGGGAATTTTCTTTCAAAAGTAAAGAGGTTCGGTTTCTTTCTTTTTTAAAATATTTTTTATTTGACTTTTATTCCCCGACCAAAAAATGCCCAAAAATCGAGCCACGATTGATTGGTCGCGGCAGCGACAAACGCTGAAGCTAGTTCTATGTGTCGTTATCAATAACCCTCCGTAGATCTAGATCTAGACAGCACTCGAGTGAACACAACACATTAAGTTTAAGAGCAGCATCCTTCAAAGGCAATACACGTCATATCTGTAGCGAAAAACTGTTTGGAACTGTAGTATTTTTTTTTATATAAATATTTACTGCGGACATTTTTTAGACCGATTGAACCATATTGTATACGAACAATCTTTGGTAGGTCTATACTCTATATAATATCCGAAATTTGGGGGAAAGGATGTGATTTCAGAGTGTTCGGAGAAATAGTGCCCAGCTTTATTTTCCCGAACGTTCGGAGAAATAGTGCCTAGCTATATTTTCCCGAACGTTCGGAGAAATAGTGCCCAGCTTTATTTTCCCGAACGTTCGGGTTAATTTAAAGTCTATGCCAAGACGGAATAAGACAAGACGGGACAGCTCTTCTTTACGTCATGTGACAAGCGCACGCCCCTCCCACTTTTGCTGCTGCGCGTATAACTCGCTGGAGTGGCGATAGTTTACATTGGTTACAATGCAAGGCTACTGATCATGTCGGGCGGTATGTCTTGCCAATGCCTACTAAAATTAATATATTTTAGCCCAGAGAGAGAGAGAGAGAGAGAGAGAGAGAGAGAGAGAGAGAGAGAGAGAGAGAGAAGGTATTTAATGAATAAACGTAGCCTATCTAGATCTAGATCTAGATCTAGAATCTAGATTAGATCTAGATAGTCTAGATTTTGTTGTGCACCCAGCGGAGAGTGTGCAGTTCGGAAAGTAGACCTAGATTCTAGATCTAGATCTAGGCTCCTAAGTGGTTTGTGAATGACCGAAGGGCGACTCTTGACAAGCGGTATACGTCTGTGAAATGGCGGAGACACTCTATATCTATATCATGCAACTTGATTCATACTATCGTATCAACAGTAGATGTAGGTCTACTTAAGCTTCTGTGCTTGTTTCAGTGGCTTCTTTTTCAGAGGACCTGTACAATTGTGGTCAGCTTTAATGTTTACATGACGGTCATTATTGTCATGTGGGAGTGAATCAAGTTGCATGATCTGGATGCTCTAGATTCTATCTAGATCTATATAGCCAAGATAATCTATTTCTAGATCTAGATAGTTAAGATCTATCTGGATCTAGATCTTGATTAGATCTATAATTTTAATTCAGTTTAGATCTAGATCTAGATCTAGATCTAGATTCTAGATATCTATAATCTAGGCCTAAATCTAAATAAGAAACACGTAAAAATTACTACAGGGGCACTTAAATTAGGCATTGGGTGATTTAGTGCAAACTGGACCGCTATTGTACAGGAGTGCCATTGTTTCCTAGCTTCAGTTCATGATCATTGATTCTGACATTGGGGAACAGCTCGCTGTATGGTTAATCTAGATCTAGATATAGATCTAGTCAACAGTTAGGCTGCTGGACTATAGCAGTGACCGTATCTTTAGTTTAAAAAATATCCAATCTATTGTATATTCTGTTAGACAACAGTTCATTGCAGAGTACCACTGGCTGTTCTGTTCGTTTTTGAACTGTAAGATCTAATCTACTTCTACGTTTCGTAAACTCCTAGATCTACATCATCATGTCACTGACATTGTCATACATGTTCAACCCACTACCGCTTTCCGTTAATAAAAACCTTAAATTTCTCAACTCACTATATTCAAAATGTGAACAAAAACCAGTCAAAATAAATACCAAACAGTTTATATGAAAAAACCAAGGCAAAACAGCCATTATGAAATTCAAAGTAGACAGCTATTTCAGCGAGTTGAACAATGTGTTCTTTCTTCCTGTCGTTTGTTTACGCTTTAAACGCGCAGCTAGCTGGTTACCAAGGGGAGCCAGTGGGAACGAAAATGAGGCTGTTGTCCCGTTTTGTCTTATTCCGTCTTGGGTCTATGGTTAAGCTATTTTAGGAAATTGTTGTCTAAAATAAGACCGGGAAAAACCCGAACCATCTTCGCTCGAAACCAGAAAATGCCAGTTTGGTTATGTATATTGCTCACTTACTTGAGAAAGATGTACATTTTCCCTTTCCTTTTTGTCTTCTGCTTCTATTTTTTGTACTTTATTTGCTTGTTACCTTATATCTTGCTTCTTTCAACCAGACTATAGTTTATTTTAAAAAATTGTGAAATGTACAGAAGGCTTTTATATTGACTCTTCAAGCCAAGCACTTTCCTGACATGACTATTATTAGGAATATTAGGGAGTAGAAAGGGAGGAAGTGGAAACGAAAGGGGAAAACAAAACCAGACCGCTTGGCCTGAGGACAGTGTACAAGGCCACCAGCCCAAATTAAAGGTATTTTCTTGATCGAGATTAGATCTAGATTAGATCAGAAATCTAGATCTAGATTCTAGATCTACTCACTCTAAAGACGGAATCGCAGCCTCTTTTGGCAATGGAGCCAAAGCCAGAAAAAAAAAATGGTCATTGACATGATATTCCAATCTTGGACAGGGGAATTTAGGGATAATAAAGGTGAGAGCCCAGCGGGTGGGATCAAGGGTCGTTTGTCCGGTTGGCAAGTACAGTCGAACCTGCCCTGTCGGCCACCTCTATAATACGGCCACCCGTACAAACGGCCACTTTCCATTCCCCCCCTTGCGTTTTTTCTATATAATTTAACTGTGTAAAACGGGCACCTGTCCAACGCGGCCGCGGCCACCATAATTTAACACACAACCCCTATCATACTAAGCAATAACAACTGTCTAAGACGGTCACCTTAGTGACTCCATTACGTTTTGTCATAAATTGTGCATTGGCCCCTGGCGTTGTGGGCGAGCTGTCATAATTCAATCACCTGTCGTTGTTGTTAGGTAGTCCCTCCAACCGATCATGTTGCGTAGGCCCCTCCCACTGTTGACCAATAGCTACCAATTTTCAGCTGCTGGTGAGGTAAGCGTGTGATCCCTCATAACCCATAAGCCCCACCCACAACTCATACACAAATCGTACGTGAGATGAGTGGTCACTGTTTACCCAGTCTGTAACAAAGTAACAAAGGACGTCAACATGAACTTGTTACAGAAGCCCCACTCGTTCTCCGAGTGGTGGCGACCCATGTGTTTGTTTTAACATGGCACTCAGTCTTCCTTTTCTGATACATTTAGTTTTATTGTCACCCTTGTGCAAAATCAGCGACAAAATAAAAATTACAAACGAAATACAAACCAACAACAACAACACCAACAAAGACAACATAATGGGGCTACTTTCGATTGGGGCCTCAGATGGGAATGGTTTGTTTTCTTTATCTTGATCAGTCCTGCCTAAGATGGCCACCTGTCTTATACGGCCACTTTTCTCCTTGACAATGGGTGGCCGTCTTACACAGGTTTGACTGTAGTTATCAAACTTCACACCCCTCATCAATCAAGTCATTCAAGTGCTATCTTAACTTCTCTTTCTGATGGCGTTCGTCAGTGTTACTTTTTTTAGGCCTAAAACTAGGCCCCTTGGCCTTCCATTGCCACCATGAGTGCTTGCATCTCTCTCATGTTTTAGATCTACATAGTCATAGGACTACATTTTAGCCTTTAAAAAACAGAAACCATTATAATTGAACATTAATTAATTGTTGGCAGGCGCTATTTGCAACAGCATGTTCTGAATAGCTCCCGTGCTATTAATGCGCATTCTGACATAGATCATAGCTCCCAACTATTTGGAACGCCAGTATTAGCAAAGACCGTGTATACACGGTTTTTGGTACTTACCATCGTTTCTACATAATAATTGTAGTTCTGTCTGAATTGTGGAAGCTTTCTCAGTTTCTTGATAAACCTTCTAGATTCTAGGATTTGACCCCTTTTTTATGACGTTTTCTTATTCCAATCAATATTGGGTAGATCTAGGTCTAAATCGAACAATTGTTTCTGACATTGTCTGCACAAAAGTAGTCTAGCTCGTCTCTCATAATCATAATCATTTGAGTGTGAGTTTGAGCTAGTAAGTCAAAAGACGCTTTGATAACAATAACAATTAAAGACGATGCAACTCGGTAAGCACTAATATTATATTTCCTGTCCGCAGTGTCGTCATACAATACCTAAAGATATTATCTCTGCGTGCACTTTATATTTTGCCATCACACATGACGTTGCCTGATCTAGATCTAGGCTAGGCTTCGGTGTTTTAATTTGTGTTTTAATTAGCAGAGGGTAGATGTAGTGTCTACGTTCTCTAATGTTAGGCCAAGAGAAAGTAAGCTGTCTACGTTCTCTAATGTTAGGCCAAGAGAAAGTAAGCTGTCTACGTTCTCTAATGTTAGGCCAAGAGAAAGTAAGCTGTCTACGTTCTCTAATGTTCTGTGATTCCAAGCGTGGCATCAAATCCCTGTCCCGGAAGGGTTTTTTTTTTCCTTCTCCTGAGCGTAAAATAAAAAAAAAAAAAAATTAGACTCACAGAACAAGGAGAGATAATTGACAGAGAGGGAGGAACTGGTGCTGAAATAAAGTCCCGCATTGGAAAAGCACAGGCTGCTTTCATATCTTTGGATAGGATTTGGAAGACCAGAGAGATCTCACTTCGAACAAAGCTGAGGATTTTCAATTCAAACGTGAAGTCGGTCCTGTTGTATGGATGTGAGGCATGGAACGCATCGCAGACTTGTAAAGAGAGGATCCAGGTTTTCTTGAACAGGTGTCTAAGAAAGTTACTGAGGATCAGATGGACAGACAGGGTCACCAATGTGGAAGTGTTAAGGAAAACAAGACAGATCCCAGTCAGAGATGAGGTAGGAAGAAGGCGGTGGCGATGGATTGGACATACTCTCAGCAAGTCAGGCAGCTGCATAACAAAGAAAGTTTTGGATTGGAACCCACAGGGCAAGAGATCAAGGGGAAGACCTCGTGGAACTTGGAGAAGAATCACAGAAATCGATGTACAGAAAAGTGGGAGGACATGGAATAACATCAAGAGGCTAGCCCAGGATAGAGACAAGTGGGGGGTGTTTGTCCGTGGCCTATACCCTGGTGCAGGGTGAGAAAGGCAATGATGATGACCAAGGAGAGACAAATAGTATCCCAAGGTGGAGTCTTGTCACCTTTGCTCTTTATCCTCTTCTTCAATGATCTAATGAAAGAACTGCCACATTGTATGCAGATGACCTGGTTCTTTGGTGCTCTAAGGAATTCGTCACTACTGCCACATATCGCATGCAACTATCACTGGACAAACTCACTACATGGACAAAAACCTGGTGTGTAACCGTAAACAAAGGAAAGCCTTCTGCTACACTCTTCACTCTCTGCCAAGCTGAGCCAAAACACCTCACATTAGACAAAACCCCCCTAAAGTTTGAGAATCAACAGAAGTATCTTGGAATAATCTTTGACAAGCGTCTCTCATGGAAACAACACATATATTCAAAATGCAGAAAATAAAGCCAGGAAGAAACTTAACTTCATGAGAAAACTAGCAGGGACTCAGTGGGAAACTAATGAGAAAACACTTAGACAGGTCTATCTAGGCGCAAACAGGCCCCATCTCGAGTACGGATCCAGTGCATGGATGACTGCAGCACAGACTCACAAATACACTTTGGAAAAAGTGCAAAAGCAGGCTCTTCGAATAATCACTGGAGCAATGAGGTCAACGCCTATAGAAAAGATGGAACAAACAACATCTATAGTGGCCTCGCAGACGAGATTCAAATGCAAGGCCCTCATACAGTACTCCAAGGCCACAGCTATGGAGGATCATATACTGCTCACAAGAACAGCAAGATCAAGCACCACAAGACTTAAAAGATCCAACTTCATCAAAGAAAGCAGAAAAATCCCAAGATCCTCACAGGGCCATCTACCAGCCACAGTTAACATGCTGAACCGTATCCCAGAGGCACCATCATGGGAAAAGAAAAACACAAACATATCTATACACACGTCCATTCCTATGTTCACCACAAAAGATGACCACAGCGACCTGAGCAAGAAGTCCCTCTCCCTGTCCATGCTTGAACAAAGATATCCACGAGAAGCATGGATAAGGATCTATACAGACGGATCTGCCACTGATGCTGTGAAAAGAGGAGGAGCCGGAGTGTACGAGGGCTGTCCCACGGAAAACCGGAATTTGGCTGTAATTTGAAAACTATTCAATTTTTTCCAATTCTGTAAACAATCATTTAGAAATTTCCCGATTGAGCACCATGAGCATCACACAAACCAAACGAACACAGCAGTTCTCAAAAGATGGCTACCCCCTTTGAAAATTGGTCAAGGGTAGAAGTGAGGTCTGTCATTCGGTTTCTGACCGCAAAAGGTCTCAAACCTCTAGAAATACACTCTGAAATAAAGTCAGTTTATGGGGAGAAAGTAATGGCAAAGTCACAGGTATATGAGTGATGTAGTAAGTTCAAAGCCGGGCACTCCGATATCAATGACAAAGTTTATCCAGGATCTTGTTTTTCTGCCAAGACTGAGGACAACAAGAGTCGCGTTAACGAACTTATTAAAACAGACAAGCGCCTAAAAATTCGCGAAATTTGCGAGTCGCTGAACATTTCAAAGTCGACTGTCTATAGGATAGAGTTTGATGAGCTGCACTATTGAAAGGTCTCTGCTTGATGGGTTGGGGCCGAAAAAGACCAGCGGGGTCATTTTGCAGCATGGCAACACAACGCCACACACCGCAAACGTCACGAAAGACTGGTTCCAAAGGTTTGGCTAGGAAGTTCTACTACACCCCCCTCACAGTCCTGACTTGGCCCTGTCAGATTATCACCTTTTTGAACCAATGAAACGCCATATTTCTGGACAGCGATTCACCGACGACGAAGACCTCATGGAAGCCGTGAACGATTGGTTGAAATTCCTTGACGAAAGATTCTTCACGGAGGGTATCTTCTCCCAGATCCAGCGATGGGAAAAATGTGTCCAGTGGGATGGTGATTACATTGAGAAATAAAGCACATGTTGAGGTATGATGTGTTACAGTTTTATTATAATAGGACAAAGATTTTTGCTTTTACGGACCTTTTCCGGTTTTCCGTGGGACAGCCCTCGTACGTACAGTTCTCAAATGGACGACGACAAGCAGAGGCAGTCCCAACAGGCCGACATTGTACAAACTACGGGGCAGAGATGGAGGCTCTGATACATGCAGCAAACATCATCAAGAATGTGGTAGACCCCCAAAACCAAGAAGTATTCCTAACAGATGCCATGTCAGTACTGCAGGCAATCACTTCCGGCAAACTACCAAGGCTACGAAAAGTAAATGAGGACATCCCAGGTCTGAGGATCATGCTGCAGTTGATTCCATCACACTGTGGTGTCTTAGGAAATGAGCAGGCAGACAGGATGGCCAAACTAGGAGCACAGAAAGAGCAACCAGACAACTGCGTTAACTACACAGAAATAAAAACTATTATAAATACACTATTTAAAGCACCTCAGACACCAGATAGCTACCATGAGCTGTCCCGCCAAGAACAAGTGATTATCTTCAGACTAAGGACACAACACACAAAA